TAATCCTCCTCCAGCTGGATTTAGAGCTGACCTCCATTGTGCTTTTCATGAGGGTGCCCCAGGCCACGACTTGGAACATTGTTATGCACTGAAAGCCAGAGTGCGGGAGTTGATTCGAACTGGAATCCTTGGTTTTAAGGATGACCATCCGAATATCCAGAACAATCCATTACCATAGCATCAAAAGGGAAGCTTCAGACTGACTTCAGCTTACTATCTTTTTTGAGCGCCAGTGTTTCAGACAGGACAAATTTAGTCACTAGGCCTTTTGTTTCTCATTGTTTGCATTTTCCTTCATTTTGTTTAAGCTTGTTTGCTTTTATTTAGTGTTTGTACTTTCATCTTAATGAATGAGCATCACAACTTTTGATTTCAAATCATTTTGCCTATTGTTTGCACTTTTATGCTTTATCTTTCAAATATTTACTCCTTGTCCAAACTTTTGATTATGCAATTATTTGAGGAAGGATGATGAAAACGTTATACCCATAACTGCTGCTAGTATGCTTTCAATCAAACTTTGTTGACGATATAAGGCATTGTTTCAACTCCCAAACACTGGAGAAATAAGGAAGATAATCCCTCGTTAACCCCTTCGAGCCTAGAAGTTGGAGTTTTTTTTTCTTTACAAAAACCTACAATTTTAACCTTGGGGTGGGTAGTTCTCAGTTAACTTGGTTGTGTATTCATGCAAGACACCTTTTATATAAAGTTTGCAACTACATTTTTTTTCTTCGCACATAACAAACAAGTGTCGAAGATGTTTTTCAAGTCAAAATGCCGATGATGGTTCACCGTGATCATTAAGCTAGGCAGTCACTTTCTTTCAAAAAAATATATATCAAAAGCAAAAGCCCGCTAAGTTAAAACCTATGAAGGAGACTTAGGCAAAACTGGGGCATCCCGCTAACTGTAAGTTTCAAAAGAAACAGTTCAGGAAAAAGTTAGGGATAATAAAAAGAGGAGATCTTTAAATCCTTTAACTTCAAAACAACCAAATGTTGCAAAGAAGCAGTGACTGCCTTTTCAAAAAGTCTGTTAACTTCTGAACCATCGTCATTACTATCATCAGTGCAATTCCTAATCTATGGGAACCTGAGCACATAGTCTGATTTAACTGAGCATAGGACTGGAGATTATCACGTAGATTGGGTGGGTAGAAATAAAATTTGAGCCTTTATCCTTTGTTTCTTAAACCGTGAACCAGACCACATTACAACCCTCAAAAGACCTAACTGAAGCAAGGTTATTTTGAAAGCATACTACAACAAGGTTACGTACACTGACTCCAAAATATTTTTGCAAATCAATTAGTTTGGCAGTACACCTTTGTTTTAAACTTTGAGTGTCTTGAACCGCTGTGTTCCGATCAATGACTCTTTTACTTTGCATCTTTCAAAAATGATTTTAATTTCAAAAGTTGCATGAACTTTACATTACCATGTTTGTATGAACACTTTTGTTTGCAAGCTGGCTTTCCTCTCAAGGAATTTTCAAACATTGAGAAACTTGGTCAAGTGATCCTATCAGGGGCAAGTTCCTTTTACATCCTGTCTAAGAATCAATTCAATATTTGTTCAAGGCATGGTATTCTCAGATTTGGCTTATCTAGAATATATTTCAAGACTCAGACTGGGGCAAGCTCTCCAAGCACCCAATTGATCAGTCATTTTCAACGTCAACAAGCTGAAGCAGTTATTAGCTCATCTACAACAGACAGCTAAACTGGGGCAGTTTACTTGAAGAACCCTCAAGCAGATCTTTATCCTTCCTACAAGGATCATCTATTTATTGGTGTGGCAGAGATGTGTTCATCAGTAGCATCTTTAGTCCCCAAGCAGATTGACATTGATCTCCGTGTTGAGGAATCAGTCTTTCAGTTTTATCTTCTCACCAAAAGAGTCGAGCCTTGTCGTCGGCATTTGCATTTGATCATATGTCATCTGCATAATTTATACATGTGTATATCATAAGCATAATTCATATACATGTGCACATCATGGGTGTTTTATCCCCATTTGCTTTTTCTCCTGAGGTCGTGTTTTACCCGCGTCTTACCTTGTGGATGAATTTCAATTTATCTAGCATCATGGGTGTTTTATCCCCATTTGCTTTTTCACCCGAGGTCGTGTTTTACCCGCGCCTTACCTTGTGGATGAATTTCAATTTACCTGGCATCATGGGTGTTTTATCCCCATTTACTTTTCCCCCGAGGTCGTGTTTTACTCGCGTCTTACCTTGTGGACGAAGTCCAACTCACTTGGCACCTACCAAACAAGTTTGTGTCGCGATTATCTGATGGTTTTCCAGATATTTATTTCTCTTTCTGATGGTTTTCTAGATATTTATTTCTCTTTCTGATGGTTTTCCAGATTGAGTCTCTGTTCTGATGTTCTTCCAAAACTCATCTGATGGTTTTCCAGATATTTACCTTGATTCTGATGTTTTTCCAGAATCTATCCGATGTTTTTCCGGATATGTTTCTCTTTCTGATGTTTTTCCAGATTGAGTCTTTGTTCTGGTGTTCTGATGTTCTTCCGGAACTTATCTGATGTTTTTCCAAATGTGTCTGTAAATTCTGATGTTTTACCAGAATTTATTTCTTTTTCCGTCTGATGTTTTTCCAGAACACCTTTGTGTCTATCAGAGTTTTGTTCAATGCACTTCCGACAAAACCTCTGGTGACTGTGACTTTTTCCCCAGTAAGTTTCTTTTACTTTCTGGATGTTTCTGGTATCTCACTGTGTGTTATTTCCAGCATCTGATGCTTTTCCGGATGTCTGTGTCTTTGTTTAAGGTTTGTCCCTCTCTTTCCAAGTATTACTGGATACTCTTTGTCACATTGGCAGATGTTCATAATATTTTCCTCAATTGTGTCGGCTAAATACTTTTTTCCGTGAAGTTGTCAGTCTTTCCCTAGTGGAGTTGCAGCATCTTCCCAATATATATTCGTCTCCTGTGGCATCTTTCCTCGTAGAATCTTTGTCTTGCATATCATATCATATCATAAGCATTTTGTGGCATCTTAGGGTCAAAAATAGCGCACGTTTGTATTTAAGTCTCTCCGACCTTGTCGAGACGAAGATTTCAATTTTCACCTCTCCATAACGAAGAAACTTAAATAGGGGCATCTGTTGCACCCTAATTTTTGACTCTAAGATCTCGCTCATTTTGCGTCATCTGTATAGTTTACCATCTCGTACATTTTTCATAGTACCCAATTTATCAGCTGAAATAAACTTTTTGGACACTTTAAGCCGTTTTAGCGGGTAAAATTTATTTCAAAATTTGACAAAACGCTTTATTTTTCCGAATCGTGTATTTTTTGCTGATCACTTTGGTGTATTCATTTTATTTTTTTGAGTACTTCGGTACCGACCCAATTATTCGTTTTTTACTGTCTGTATTTCTACTTTTAATTAATATATTCTTTTAATCCATCAAATCTTTATTTAGATTCTATTGTAAATATTTTATTCTTTTTATATTTATCTTTTCCTTATTTTGTGGGACTTTTGAAAAAGTTTTTGATTTTGTAGTAATAAAGGAGATTTTGTCCATTTTTTGAGTACTAATATACTCATGAGCTACCCTCTCTCTCATAGCCACATCAATCTATTAGACCCCAAAATCCTACAAAATCTAGAAAAAAAAGGGGCTATGTCCTCACATCACTTCCATCCTTTCCATATACTATTTTCTCTCATTTCTTTTCCAACATAAAAATATACATACATTTTTTAATTAAAAGAGGAGAACAACACAGTAAAAATTCACATCCACCCTCCTTTCATTACCATAAACCGTATAAACTCATTAACTCACCACTCCATACATGAACCATGTTCAAAAAATAACACCACTTGACATAAGCTAGGATATTCCCTTCCAATTTTTCTTCACATAACTCTCCCTCATAACCATATATCTTGAAGCCATTCATCTTCATCTCTCACTACCCCACTCTCTGCAACATTCCGCTTGGTGACTTTTCATCTCGCCGGTAAACACGTCAAACACAAACTTCTACCAATAACAACAAAGCTCTTCAGTGTTAGTTTTCTTTTTTTATTTCGATTTCTTCACTTTGCTTGATTAACTTGTTGTCTAGATTTGTATATTTTCTTTTTTTGCATATATTTCTATTTAGATTTATTTTGCACTCTATTTTATTTAGATCTCCTGCATGTCATGTTGTTTATTTATGAAAGTAAATTCACATGAATGTCATTGTGGTTTATTTGATATAATGTCTGGTACAATAATGTTTCATATGCTTGTGGATCCCTGCATTACATTTACTATTAATTAGAAAAAGTTAAACCACTTTCATTTCTTGTTAATACTGCATTTTTTTTATTATTTATTAATTTTGCTTCATTAAAAATGATGAACAACTAGCGTTTCTATGTTTCCCACCTTGGTTTTTCAAATTACTTTGTTTTAATAAAGTTTCTTT